CATAAATATTTCGTGACAAATCAACGACACTAACCTTCAGCCCATTTCCACACAGCAATGCTATGCGCAGCATCAATTCCTACAGTGACCAAAAGCTTGCCGTTGCAGCTGAAGTTCACAGCACAAACTCCCTTAGTGTGGAATCCGTGAATAACAGATAACGTCTCCTTGGACATGGCATCCCATACATGCACACACGGCTCTGTACCGATCTGGCCAGTTGCTACAATGTTCTGTAAGATCACAGAGTTTAGGAGCAAATATTTTACTTTGTATAAAAAGTGTGGACAAAAGACTTAACACTCACAGCGCCAAAGCGCTGATGGTTTTCACCATCGACGCAAGCGCAAGCGTAAGCACAAGCGCAACAGCTCTTAACTCACCGTGAAAATGGCCTCGAGGCAAGTACAAACAAAAGCGCAAGCACAAGGATCAAAATTTTTCCTTTTCTTGTACTAGTGCTTGGCGATGTTCGTTTTCATTTGGCGTATAAACCTTAGGCTTGCGTTTGTGCTTACGCTTGTGCTTGAAAACCTGCGCTAAGCCAAGGGAAATATGACGAATTGCTTAAGGTTAATCTACGTTGGACTGATACTCGATGCAGGCGAATTACCAATTCAAGGAAACATGGTCTAGCCAAGCCTTGTGTTAGGCTGGAAAGCCAACGATATGTCAACATCATGAAAACGACTTGTGGGGGGGGGGTTCACTGAATGCAACGACTTTCATTTAAGTTACACTATGGCAGCAACATGACCTTCATATTTCAAATTAATTTCGGTAGATTTACGTGTGATGTTTTTGAAAAGGGAAAGAACGCTAGAATCTTAGCGGAATTTATATAAGTTAAAAGAATATTTCTTCGCATTGTTGAAAACAACTTGAACAACAACAGAAGAAAAATAAAGGTAACATCCTCGAAGGTGATTGTTGGCTGCAGGGCTGGCGCCATTTAAGTGCGAGTCAACGTTACAACTTCGTGATCGTCTCCTTGACCGGTCATGTTTGATTTTGAGCAAGAGTGGACGGTGGGGAAGGGGACGGGAAAGGGCGTGAAGATTTTAATTGCCCCATCCCACCCCCTCCCCTCTCATTCCTTTTGACCCTCCCTCACCCCCTTGGTACAAACTTCGCTCTTTTACCAGCCTGCTGCTGCTGCTAAATCAAAGACGGTACTCGCTCGTCAAAACTACGCCTGCTCTCCAGGTAAATGTGATTGCGTATTAGCTAAAGGAAAAGCAAACCTATCTTGATTTAACTTTACCTTAAACTTAGGGTGCTGATTGGTGGTCAAACATATGATGTCATCAGTATGTTCGAGGTAAAACGACTGCACACCGTTAGCGGTGCTCAGTACGATCCCTGCTCCCGCAGCATGGTATACAATGTCCCCCTCAGGGAGGTAGTGTAAGTTATTTCTGGTGTCGAAACCTCGGTAGCCATGAATGAATTCCAAACTTAGTTCCTGCAACCGTGGATGGTTTGTATAGAATTAAAAGAGGCATCACGAACGCCAAAAATTGATGGCGAACACCAAAACTTCGTAATAGCAAACGCACAAGACTCCTGAACGGAAGATCTAGATCTACAACCTCGGACAAAACCTGTTGAGACACATTACAAAAATACCTATTTTTTGCACTCACCCTGACAAAAATGCTTCCCGTCGCAAATTCAAAGATTGTTTTCCCCCTCCCCTATTGCAATGTTGTTTGCGGTAACACAAGAAATGCCTGCTTGAGCTGTTAAGCCCCAACAACATTGTACCAGGGGTGGGGAGGGAGGCAAGTTTGTTCCTTTTGGAAACGATTGTTGCATGGCGTGAAATTAAAAATTGCATTGAAATGTCTGAACAGTTTTGTCCGGGGTTGTAGGTCTCATTCCTGGCCGTGTCCCTGTATCGTGCTATTTCGGAATTTAAAACTCTCAAGGTGCTTCACTCCACCAAAGAGTTCAATATATGGGGGAATGGGGTGCACACTAAATGTACTATCCCACCCTGGAGAAGTAAAAATTCTCCCAGTCGGTAATGCGAATGAAACCAGAACAAGTTTAGGCAGCTGAGAAGAGCCTGTACAACATTGCAAGTGACTGAACATAAAATAAAGTTAAAACAAGAGAAACGAGATGGTGACCCTGTGAACCACTCCATACGCCATTACCTGGATGGGCTGGGATCTTCTCTTTTTTCCCGAGTCCCTTTGCCGATCCAGCTGTCTCACCTTCGGGGGAGCTTTGGAACCACGACTAACCGCGGGTCTGACACACGCAAAAAAAAACACAAAAATAACAAAGCAACATCAATACGCCAAACTGGGTACCGAGCGAAGATGTATACGCTAGTAGCAATCTGGTTTTGGCCAGAATCTCGGTAGAAAACTGCAGCGCTCGTTTCCAAATAGGTTACGGTTATGGTTGTTTCGTGTGCAAAAAAACTTCGCTTCTACAGTGACTATCTTCACCTGAGTGCATTGAAATGTAAATTGGGCACGGCGAAACTGTCAAGGAAATAGTCGGAAACCTGCTTTCCCGAGGGATAAAGCAATAATCCGAGCCGCTCCATACTGTAGAAGCCGGGATAACCCCTGCCAGAGATGTCTCGCGAAGCTCAGCCGTAATACACAAACCTCCCCGCCCCGCCGCAGATTAACAATGATTATCCACCTGTGTTCCTCGTCATCCTGTCTTTCCCTAAGGTGTGGCTTAACACCTTTTGTGGTTCGTATCGGATTTGCGTAAATCTTGTCCTCATACGTGAGATTTTTCTCCTTCTCAACGTCACTATCATAGCCTCCTTCTTCTTCAGAATCGGTGTCCGAGTCATCGCTATCGCCGCCAGTGTCCTCTTTTCCATGGGCTCGAGCATGTGACCACACCATGACGGATGTGTCGGCTCCGCCCACAGAAATTAAGTGGTTGTCATCGCTTGTCCAGCGGACGTTAGTCACATGCGCAGAATGTCCAACGTATTTTTTAAACTTAGCGTGTTTGCCCTGCAAATTAACGATCATTGTTTTTAAGCCTTGAATGGTTTTAGTTAAATATAAACAGCAACTGCTACAACTTACACACTGCGCAACGATACAATAAAAAAAATTAACGCCTGGCGTGGAAAAGCTAAAGATATGTGAGGTTTGGAATGAATTTTGAAAGAAGATTTGACAAGGTTATTGCATCAAGCTTTAAGAGGGCAATGCAGTGTGGGAGGGGAGGGCTGGGGGAGAATAAGAGAGTGTAATGAGAAAAAAATGGCGCAAAAAAAGGTTTCACCTAATTCTCTAGTGGATCGCGAATGATAAAGATAAAGGTATATAGATCATTTACCTTACAAGGTTATTCTGCAGTCAATACAATATAAGTACACTTACATAAAAAAAAAAGAATCAAAATATATGGAAAGAAACTATCACATAAAAGCGCAAAAAAATTAGAGTAACAAGATACAAAAATATTACAATCTAAACAAATTAAATATATTCAAAATCGAGATAGCAAAATAAATGCCCTTGAGATCAGCTGGTCAAATTTGCAACACCGTAAAACACCTTATCCTTAGAAGTAGCAAATCCTTTCTCTTGCACTCACCTGCACTGGATATTCAAACAACTTCACAAAGCCAAAATCGTCTCCAGTGGCTAAAATCTTCTTGTCCTTGGTTAAATCGACCGCGTTGACATCAGTGATATCTGAGTGGGGCGGCCATATTCCTGAGCAATCGTCCCCAAGAACACTTGTCCACGTGGACCAATCAATCTTCTTGGATTCACTGGACACAATAGCTTGGCGTGTACCACGAGGTGCCTCAAAGAACAGGCGCTCTTTAGCGCCTGAGTTTGTTTGGAGAAGCTTCCCTGAAAATGTAAAGGATTTACTTTGAGTCAGTTTTGGCCTTGTGTAAACCTACCTTTAACTTGAAGCTCTCTCCCTCTCTCTCAGCGCAATATCTTTTAAATGCTTTACAAAAAAAAAAAGTCTGTACTTGATCCAAGTGGCCCATCCCATCGTGGAGTTAAACAAGCTTGGAATTCATACAAGCGTACCTTTCGAGTCCCAGTCCACATGAGTGACGTAACTTGAGCTTCCTTTGCAGATACCGACTCGTTTACTGCTCAGCACATTGTAGATGTCAACAAAGTTGTCATGTGACGCTACAGCCAAATATTTACCTTGACCTGTCATGACAAAAACGAAATGGAAAATGTTCACCACACTACATCGAATAATCACCCTTCCCTTTCCCCCACCGTGTAATATATTGAGTTCCCTGAACGTCATAATTATTGTGTATGTACCCAGAGTACATTGCAGTATTAAAGTTGTGTTGAAGTGGCCATGTTGTTGTGACTTCGTGGTTCTGTTTAACCCAATATAGTGGCAATATACTACACACAGGAAACAAAGCCCAACACTATCTAAGAGAGCGGGGGAAACGGAAGGAATTGGCGGTGAATTAGGCCGCTATCAATACTTCGATCTCACTGGTATTTTATCCCCTGTATTTCGTTTCCTATTGCTGCTACGCACTCTGCAGAAGTTCTTGTTCCCAATCTTTCGATACAAAACCAAAAGGTCTTACCAGGTGAAAACTTGATGTCTGAAATTTCTTCCTTTCTGTGGTGAAACCCGACGATGTCATCCAGGGTTGAAGAGTCGACGACTTGAAAACTGCCTAAGGAGCAAACGAAAAATAGTGTAAACAAAACGTATTGAGCCTTTATCACTACTAAGGAACGGAGAAAAAAAACTCAAAGGTAAGAATGAGTAAGAAACTTTCCCTTCTTTACTTTCTCTAGGGGTGGGTATGGGGGTCGATTCTGGACGGGTTTTAGACGAATTTACGCTTACCAAGGAAGGATCCGTCCGATATTGGATGGACGCGCTCGATTTCGAAGTGATCCGTCCATCTTTGACCGGTCGCGCAGAGATTTGACGCCTACTCATACTCGCTGTCAGAATTCTTACCGTCTTTATATCCAACTGCCAGGACTCTTCCATCAGGTGAATACGTCACACTCCTGGCAGGTTTCGTCAGTTTACGTACATTCTTTAACCTATGACCAGCTAAATCCCATACTCTCACTGACATGTCGTCACTGACTGTCGCACAGAGCTCCTCGGCTGGGTGGGAGGCCAGGCCCCACAGTTCACCTTCCAGATGACCCTATGAGTAATCAAACAAGCAGCAAACTGGACTTTGAGTTGAAAGTCAAATACTTCCACAAACAACGTGAATCACAAATTGTGCCTAGTCTGAAGTGGGTAGGGGATACTGCTGGCTTCTCACAAATTTCATCCAATTTTGAATTCTGGATTTGGCGTCACTTTAATGAGATCTGGGTTGATAAAACTTACCTAACTCCTCATGAGGCTCTGTAGTGTTCTCATCATTCCTCCCCCTTGGCAGCTAATTAGCAGTTAATTCTCTACAGTCCTACCTTTAGTCTCTGTTGGCCACGGCTCGTCCCACCCCCCTCCGTTCCCCCTGAAAACCATGCGATCCCCCCTAAATCTCCGAACCCCCCCTTCCCACAGGCAATAAAAAATGAGAGGTTCCTTTGAAAACAAATCAACCACTAGAAGATGACTAAGTACCTGGATGAGAACTGTGATGGGTCCACTCTTGTCAATCTCCATGATCTAAAATTCAATTTCAATAGAATTTCACTTTCATTCTAAGAGTCACATTTTTTATCTTCTCTTGTGCTGGTGGGAGGCGCGGTGGCCTCATGGTTCGAGCGTTCGACTCCGATTGTGTGGTCTGGGTTCGAGTCCCCGTCGGGGACATTGTGTTGTATTCTTATGCAGGACAATTTACTCTCACAGCGCCTCTCTTCATTGAGGGGAGCGGGTACTGGCGAATTTAAAGCTGGGGGTAACCTTGTGATGGACTAATATCCCATCCAGGGGAGAGCAGAAATACTCCTGGGCGCTTCATGCTACGGAAAGCGGAGTTAAGCGCCGGCCTGGTGGGCTCGTGTACAGTCTTTTCCTTTACCTTTTTGCCCGAAAGCTTTACGAGTCCTGAGACCAGAACCAAAATGCGAGAATTAAAATAGTGACATGTCAGTCAATGCTAGATTGCTTCAGCCACAACATTTACTCAATACAAATTGCAGATGGAACTAAAAATACCTCGCCATTTTTGGTACCGACCAAAATTTTCCCCTGTCCAAGTGTTATAGCACGGATGGGGGGAACATCTTCCAATAAAATTGAAGCCGGTGGACCTGGACTAAGACTTGTGCGAGTGACCTTGTAACTCTTTAAACAGCGGGAGAAATTATCGTCCCATAGCCCAACTGTACCATCTTTTCCACCAGTCACAAAGCCCTATCAAAACAAAATCAGATCGTTGTGGACAGAAACACAAATGCACCATTATCCTAGGGGAAGGTAAATTAAAATAGGTTGGATTTTAGTATTGGCAAATAATTTCTTAACCTTTACTCCCGAGCTTTAGTGGTTAATTCAGCTCAATTCTCCCCTCTAACTGCAAGGCATTTCCTTGTCAATCAGTTGTAAGAATTTGGTGTTAGATCAAGATAACAACTTCTACATGATAAAGTTTGAGTATTCTCATTACCCGTTTGCTAGATAATGTACGGATATTATAGGGAGAAGTTACATGTTAATCACTTTTGGGAGTCAAAGGGATGAGAAGCTTTCAGGTTCTATCGTGATTCAACTTCCATCTGCAAAAAAACTGATCATTACATCAACCTCTCGGTCAACACTTAGAGTTGCTGGAATATGAATAAATGTCACTCAAATTTTAGCCAATTTCAGTTCGCAAAGCTTCATAGTTACCTTTTCTAGCACTTGCATAGCAAACACAGGTCCTTCGTGAGCCTGCACTGAGTTTTGCATAGCATGTCCCTGCCATATGTACACTTTTCCACTGGCTCCACCAGAGTACACCAAATCAGGACTCTTTCCATAAGTGGCACACATCATAGTCTCGGCTTTCCCCGCGCTACCGAAAGTTCCTCGCTTGGAGGTGAAGCCACCACCGGTCTGTGTCCAGAACTTGATATGCTTCATGCCAGCTGTCACAAGAAGGTCTGGGTTTTGAGGATTCCATTTGATGACAAATATTTTGTCTTTGTGTCCCCTGAAGTCAAAGGTACATGATTAAGTGCTATATATAAAGGTCTCCACAATAAAATAAAAAATCCCCCAGATATCACCACATAAGCTAAGAGGCAACACGTTGAGGACGAGACAAATTTTAGAGTACATTTTTCTTTCATCTCTCTTTATTTTCGTTGATTTGTTTTATGAAATAAATTTCTTTACCTTGTTGTTGCTAATTTTTCTCCTTTTTTCCAGTCCCATACCACAATCACGTGGTTATCATCAAGTCCCACACTGGCTAACTTCTTCCCGTCACCTTTAAAGGAAAGTCGCAATTTTTCAGAAATGCCTAATCGCAGTAGCAAAGATCACTACTTCATATATGTCTAACCTGAAAAGTCGACAGCACAGACACCCCTCTCGTGTTGCCCCTTCAGAATGGCTAAGGTCTCCATCTTCACAGCATCCCATACATGGACAGCAGGGTCCCGACCCACCTAAGGATAAGAAAAAAAAACAGCTTATACAGAGAAACTTACCATTTAGGTTAGTAGCGTCTACACTGTAAAGATTTAGGTTCAGGTTGGTTTACGACCTAAAAACCCAGGGGCGCAGCTGAGGGGGGAGGGGGGCCGAATTGCCCGTGAACCCCTATTACTACTCCCTCCTTTAGTGAGAATTTTTCTTTTTCATCAAGGACATTTAACTATAGTTCAGGTTTGCAAAAAAAGCCCGAAACCGAAAAATCTAAGCGGCATATATCTTTTCCTACTTACCTCTCCTCGCTGCATGAATAAGAGCCCGCAGCTGTAAAGGAGCGGTATAAGCAAATTCGCGTAAGGAGCGCGGGAATTCTGTGACTGTTAGCTTAGATGAGTCCGCCACCCACCCCCACAAGGTTTCAAAACGCTCAGCGTCTCTGAAGTTTTCTTCAGATATCACAACACGGTGAGCCAATCAATGCGTAACCCCTGGACCTCAACAATAGGCCATTTTACAGTGCTGTACTCAGTTGCCAAGCCTTTGAATTGGAGCGAGGATGAAGGCGACCTTTTTGTGAAAGAGACCAGTAACTAGTTAGCATGATACCAAAGTCAATTACATTAGAAAATCAGTAACGTTTGTATCAAAGCAACTTCACCCTTAGCCTCACTCCTGTTCTAAGGCTTGGCAACCAAGCACGCAACTGTGAAATGAATCATTACAATATCATGTCATCCATAAAATTTTTGGCAAACGATCTAAAAGGAATTCCGAACGTACCTGCCCGGTCGCCACCACGTCTCTCACAGGGTGTATACACAAGCAGAGGATGTCGTCAGTGTGCGCATTATAAAATCTCTGCTTATGATCACGGTTGTACACAATCCCAAGAGCAGCCACGTGGTACACAACCTCGCCACTTTGAGTGTAGAACAGATTGTTGCGACAGTCATACCCTCGGTAACTGAGAAGAAATAGATAAATCTCTTATTAACCAAGCGCGAGGGCCGTGCTGGGAGAATATCGGCCCGAGATCTTGACAGTACGGACCGAGCGCAGCGAGGTCCGTACAAAAAAGACCGAGGGTCGATATTCTTCCAGTACGGTATCGAGAAAGCTTGGTTAATAAGAGATTTATTACACGACTGAAGTTCAAAGGGACACAAGTGCGGTATCATTCGGGACAGTGCCCGGTCCAATACTGAGAGAATATTGACCGGCAATAGAGCATTTTGATTGGTTGATTTTAGTTATTGGCCCTCTGACTTCCCAAGTCGTGTAATAAAATCAAATAATTGGTCAATGAATCATTCTGAAAATTACTAAATAAAAAGATGAGATATCCTATTTTAAGGCAAAGACATCGACTACGGATTATGTCTTCAATGTAGAAGGGACCTAAAAACTGGAAAGAATTCTTTAGAGACGGCTCTATAATAAAATTTTAACCCTTTGCCTGATAAGATTCCAAATTCTCCCAGCTATGAGCGATATACTTCCTTACGCATACAACAAGAGAATTTGATATTACATCGAAACAACAACTTCAAGGTAATAACTTAACATGCGCTCAAAACCAGTCGAAACATCGCCATCAGTACATTTGATAGCCTACCTACATCCTGAGACAAACGAACAAACGTTCATTTATTCTCGCAGCCTATTTGCTGGACAACATATTGATAGTGTGAAGGGAATTTACACGTTAACTCACTTCTGGGCATAAATGCGTAAGACAACGTGTCATTTTATTCGCGTAGATCAGGTTAGAGGAGGTATGCACGAAGACTCGCGCGCGTCTCAACACTCGCGTGTACCTTGCGCGTGCCCTGTACATACCTTGCAATGGCTCTACTCGCCTGAGAAAAGCAAAAAGAGTAGGCCTTTCCTGCAGGCTAAAAGTAAGTCTCTTACCCAAACACAAACTCTAATTTCAAGCCCTGACTGGGAGGCCTCTGGCGCGGTACACTGTCTTCCTTTTGTTGTTCTTCTTTCGAGAGCTTCAATCTTTCTTTCAAGGCTGGCAAGTCCTCCCGATACAGTGTTCTGCCATAGTCAATTTGACGTTCCTGAAATGGAACAACAATTGAACTTAGTTCTGGATGGGAATGAGTTAGATACAAAACAGCTGAGCCATTTAACAGGTGGCTATACAAAAAGGTCTTTATTTCAGGCATCTCCACTCGATTTTGCACGACTTTTTCCAATTTCACACGGAACCGTCCGATTGCAGACAGTTCTAGAGTGGACGATTCCATCTACTCACAGACGGTTCTATACAATATTTCAAACTTTTTCCAAGGCGCGTCTCTGTCAAATTCTGAACAAAATGTTTGGAAACAAAATTTGTAAAAAAAAAAACATTAGGAAAAGCATCCCTGAGAGCAAAAATATCATATAAAAGACAACAATGTACCACAATTACAAAGAAAAGAACAAGTCTAATTCGGCTGCCTCGACGGTTAACAATTCCAAAACTCATCATTGACAAACAGCTATCCATTCACGATCTCAGGCTTACATTTTCAATATCACTGTCAAGTTCATCAGCATCAGATGCTTCCGAATCACTCTCGTCACTGTGAGATTCTAGGTACGCCCCTCCATCCACGTCATCTCCACCATCATGTGACCCTTCGGGCAAGTAACGCCACTGAAAGATTGCGTGATCCCCACCGCCGACGCTTATCACTCTCATCGTGTCATGTGAAAATCGCACATTTGTCACGTGTGCAGAATGTCCAACATACTTCCTGAATTTCGCACCTAAAAAAAATAGTTCAGTTTTATCTCTTTGAGTGTACTTTATCAAGTCTACTCAAATTCAAAATCTAGAAGCCTTAATATAGAAATCAAAGTGACGCTGTGGTGATGTCGTGGATATACTCTGCAGAATATAATGTGAATCCTGCGATTGAATCTTCATCTCCAGAAGATTCCTCCCCAATTGATCCGCCAAATTAAACAATCGGCCCGCCATCTTTTATAAGATGCATTATCTAGACTCCCAGACTCCTAAGGCCATGCCAACGCCACGAAATTTGCATATCCCCGCCTAGCTCGTTCTTGTGCTTCGTATATCCACGAGGAAAAAAAAACCTTAAAAATTGGGTCTATGTCATTCCTTTTGAATCAGAATAAATAACGCCCAAAGCACAACACTATGGCATTAACCACCATTAAAATCCAATATCACCCTGACACACCCTTTGACTCCCACGCAAGCTTTCCACGATGGTGACGTAAGGCAGCGAGGGGCTTAGGCACCAATACAGCGATCGTGCGCATGGGGGTAGTGCCTGTCATGGCCTACTCAAAGGCTACAAAATTTAAAAAAATTGGTATACTTATTTCGAAGCTCACCTTTTCTTAGACAAGGAAATCTAAACAGCTTTACAAGACCAAAGTCGTCTCCAGTAACCAAGACTTCATTCTGGAAGCTGGCATCACAAGCATTAACATCGTTTGTATCGGTGTATTTTTCCCAAATTCCATTTACTTCCACTCCTAACACACCAGTCCATGTGGCCCAATGAATTGCCTTCACTTCCTCTTTGTTTGCAATACGCTTGCCACCTGAGAAAAAGAAATATAAAGAAAAAAACACAAGTTAAATCACATGCAGGTCCTCCCAATGTGCTGTTAGAATTTGCTGCTGCTATTCTAGCATTTATAAAACCCACTTTATAAAACCCCCAGGGACAATCACATCACCAGTTTCCAATTCAGACCACTTAGGCAGGATATTAATTGCTCTCAACACCAGTCTCCCACACCTCGTTAATCTCAACTTGATCAATAAAAGCTACAAAAAGCAATACATTGGGAGCTCTTACACGACACACTTACTTGGCATCTTGAAGAACAACCTTTCACTGGCACCAGAGTTGGTTTGCAAGTACTTGCTATCCATAGACCAGTCTAAATGTGTGATAAAACTTGAGCTGCCTTTGCACTCTCCAACTTTCTTGTAACGCTGAGCCACGGAATAGATATCCACAAAGTTGTCATTAGATCCCACAGCCAGATGTTGTCCATCGGGAGAGTACTTCAATTCATGAATGACTTCTTTGCGGTCTTTTATGTGAGTTACTTCTGAAAGATCCCTTTGAAAAAGAATTAAAATCTACCTCTGTTGATCATCATTATGTAACAAGATATCACTGCAGGATCACAGACAGCCCAAGCTCACTGTTAGAAAAGCAGACGTGACTCTTACAGTGTTGCGCAACGTTTTATATTTATAAAGGTTTGTATGGAATGTTATCGGTTTGCCTTAAAAGAGAGAAAAAAATGTCTCGTTTTGAAATTAAAATGGACTTACCTTATTGCCTTGTTGTTTTCTTTGTTGATTACCAGCGTCTCAGGCCATTTTGAAGCGTTTTCGGAGAGTTAGCGCTATGTTAGTGTTCAGTCTTCTTTTAGCAGTTGAACACCAACATGGCGCTAACTCGCCGAAAACGCTTCAAAATGGCCTGAGACGCTGGTAATCAACAAAGAAAACAACAAGGCAATAAGGAAATCTTTATTTCAAAACAAGCAATTTTTTTCTCTCTTTTAAGGCAAACCGCTAACATCCCATACAAACCTTTTTAAATATAAAACGTTGCGCAACACGGTAAGAGTCACGTCCGCTTTTCTAACAGTGAGCTTGGGCTGCCTGTGGCAGGACGACTACGAGTATGAAAAGTTCATTACAGGAATTCCCTAAACCCTTTTCTCAACATTCCTGTGGTAAATTTGGGAGTGGAAAGTGGCAATCAGAGTGCTGACTGGGAAACGTCAACTGCACTAAAATTTTGTTAGCTGCAGAAGGAACAGGACGTCTCTTACCACAGGCTTCCAACCAGTGAATTCTCGCACAAGATTACTGCGTCCTTCCATTTAAAACACTATGTTCATCAAAACAGACTCATTTTCATGCTTTACTTCTATGAACAGAATTTGGTTGTGTGGTGGTATGGTTGGTTAACTGTGTATTGGGAAGTCTGGGCTGGGGTGCTGTCCATGGCCAGAGAATTAGAGCCAATGAGGATTGAGGATCCACCTTTAAAACCTTATTGTGAGTAATCTAAATTAGTATAAACTCGCTAGGTAATATTTTAATTAGAAAGTGTGCATGCAGACCAACCCTGTGCTGTCGACCCTTCTTTAGAGGTCTTGCAGGCAACAGTCAACCGCTGGTACCTGGCTTTTAGTGAAACCTCTACCTCACGCTTCGCTACCTTCACTCCAATGAAGGGCTAACGCTCGAAACGTCAGCTTTTATAATCGTAACGGTGGCCAATTTACCATTTCAACTTTGTTGATATATTCAAATTATTTCGTTACCCCCACCGACGCAGCCCTAAACAGTTTCTTTAGAAACTATCAGCCTCTACCTCAGATGGTTGTCACAAAAGAATTTGCTTAAAAAGCTTCCACTCGGTGAAACCTGGCAAACCTGACTTCCTCTAGGTATAAATGTAACACTATGTTTACAAAAAACTGCCAATTCATATTAAAAATACCTTGCTTTTAAAACCATGAATGACCCATCACCAAGCCCTACAGCCAGATGGCTGCCGTCAGCATTGAAACCCAATGAACGCACTTTCTGATCCAAGTCTGTTCGCGCCAGCAGAGTCATATCCAACATACTCCATAGCCTGCCAAATTAAGAAATATAATACTAAAATCAGTATCATGGGTACTTTTTCAAATTTGAGGTGAGAAAAAGTAGCTCATTCAAGGAGGGGGGGGGTCAAAACAGCTTCTGCCGCATGCAAATAACCACGGTTGTGATATATCAATATACAAAACTGATCATTATCATCTTTATCATACCAGAGAGGTATCATTCAGACATCTCTAAACTACCTGAGTTCTTAGAGAACAAAAAATGTACCTAACACTTCTGTCATCACTCCCTGTAGCAAACATTGGCTTCTTTGGGTGTACAGCCAAAGCCCAGAGCTCTCCTTCAGCATGACCCTGACAAAGAAAATCAAAGCCTGAATCCATAATACTTAAAATGCTTGGAGGGAAGACAATCTCAGTAATATTTTAATACCCACCTGTACAATGGTTTTTGGTTTATCCTTTTCCGTCGCAATAACTTCAAACACCTCACCAGCGTTAGTACCGACAAGAATTTTTTCACCCATCCAGTATGCACTTCGCACAGACAGACCTGACCATTTGGACAAATTTATAAAAATAACTTTAATCCCACTGTTGAAAAAGCCCCCTTCTTTCAATTGATCTCCTTTCTAACAATCCTTACCATGCTCATTGCATTTAAATATCATTTAGCAATTTGCATTTTAGGTCTTGGCAAGTTTAAAATGTGCCTCTACCCCAAATGATCCCCTTTATCTTACCGGACCTCTCTCTCTCTCTCTCTCTCTCTCTCTCTCTCTCTCTCTGATAAGCTTCTGTCTCTAATATGCCCCTCTCTCTATCATAAACCCCATCCTTTATACCAGCTCCATCTACATGCAGCTTCAAGTCCCACTGGAGTGTTTGGGACATTACCTCTTAATTACCAGTACTTAACACTTTCTATCCCCACTGGTTTAGAATTGATGAAGTTGAAAATATACATGATATAATTCTTATTATTAAAAACTGTATCATTGGATAATGCAATTCAAGACTTTTTATTGGCTTAGCCATTATGGTATATGAGCCAATATACCATAATCTACAAAAATAGTAAGCGTACGCATCAGCTTAAAATTAAAAGGGAGCTGAAAAAATTTGTCTAATATGAAGTTTTGTCTAATATCTTGGGGGTGTTTTTAATAAAACAATTATTCCACTCGCACTTGTTGGATATGAGATGATTGTGGCCAACTCGGGGCTACGTGCCTCGTTGGCTATCTATCATCTTATATCCAACGCGCACTCATGGAATAATTGTTAATTTCACACAGCTCACTAAATCCCTACAGTTCTGATCTGCACAACTTGTTTCACAATCAAGAGCTTCTTTAGTTGGTGATCATTTCCTTTATTCTGATGACCATAATATGTGGTTCAGGAGTGATATTGTAAGCAGAAATTACATGCTGTCACTCTTTGGAGTCAAAGGGTTCATATTTGCTGCATGCATAGGAATCTTGAAAAACATTTCAACATTGCATCACCTTCATAGCCAACTGGAGTGTTGATCATCTCTAGTTTTGTGATTGGTTTAAAGTTGTTGTCCCACAGAATAACAGTTCCATCTTTGGATCCTGTGGCATATCCATCACTGTTTCCATGCATTGTAAATATTGCTCCCTGCAATGAAAATAAAATGGAAATCAGCCAGTAATTTCTCTTGCTGGCATTTAAATGTCAATACCAGTAATAAAACTGGAAGGGAATTCTGAGGGCTAACATTCCATCCAGGAGGTGAAGAGATGTTCCTTGTAACACAGCAGAAATCTAAATATGCAAAATGTTTGTCTCATATGTGCGCAGTATTTGGCTTAGCTCCCTATCAAGTTCTCTGTAGCTTACCTGAAGTAAAACACATTACAATGTCAAAAGTCTTCATGAAAATCCTGGGAACTCAGCTGTTTATTTTTCGCTAGTTCTTTCTAGGGCAGTATTTACAGTTTGGAAAACTAGTAATTCTTGTGCAAAGTATAACCAAGCTTACATTGTGTGCATTTGGAATAGTTCCAGACAAGTTGTGACCTTTCCATTTGTAGATTTCTCCACTCAGGGTTCCAGAGTATGTAACATCATTAGGACCAAATGCTAAACACAGATTTGTTTGAATCTCTCCAGCTTTACCAAAGACTCCTAAAAGAGTATTCAGTGAAAAACTGTTAAAATACCAGCAAAATATAAAGTACAGCAGAATCACCAAATCTACATAAGCACAAAATTACCCACAAAACAATTATTAATTCCATTTAAAAAAGACCTGTAACCTTTTTTAGGATTGAGAGCATTTCCACACAAGGTCCAAAACTTGATATGTTTCACACCACAGCTCACCAGCAAGTTTTCTTGATAAGGGTTAAATTGAATGTCAAAGATCTGCAGACCAAAGAACAAGAAAATAAACTTAGAACCTGCGATGAACTAGTATTCCACCCTGGGGAATATCTATAAAGCAACATTCCCCTCCTACTTACTATACACTGAATACAGTGGGATAAACTTTGACAAATAATGGGCTTTTTGACGTAATGTGTGCAAGACCTGAACTGTTTTCATTGGTAAAAATAAATTACATTGTCTTACTCGATCAGTATGTCCTCTGACAGATGCCAATGCTCGCCCCTTTCTCCAGTCCCATACTGATATCAGGTGGTAGTCTTCCAAACCCACTGACACCAAAAGCTGTACAAATATGCAATTAAAGCACATAAAAAGAAAAACACTTGAAGTCTGCACCAGCATAAAATGATTCTTTTGGTGTGTGACCATTGCATGACACATTGCATTTGCAAGTGCAATTTGTGGTCTTTGAAAAATTTACAAGTGATTTTTAATAATAATAATAATAATAATTTAATATTTATATCGCGCAAATTAACATGTCGATATGATCAAATGGGCATCACAACACTTTTCGGGGGACTTTGGCCCGACTGCATCAGCAGTTTACAAACAATCCAAGGAAGATGCCCCCTCCCCCCAATTCCCAGTAAACAGGCCAGACCACATCACAGTAATCTCGTGAGTGGGTTCTTTAACGTCCCCTGCCTAACCAAATTAACTAATTACTAGAACCAGGAGACGGGACCTACAGTTTATTCGTCCTTATCCGAGAAGACTAGAATGTCTATCCATTTCTTGATATTATAGAAAGGTAGCGCATTCTCCTCAGTTATTTTAAGACCTTGAGTGTTGGTCCGGCCCGGGGTCGAACCATCAACCTTGACCTCCGTCTCAACAGTCTAGCGCTCTAACCAATTGAGCTAACCGGGAGGCGGTTTTTTACAACAAATTGCACTCACAATCATGTCATTACTTGTTAACTTACATTAAAAAAGCATCACAGTCAAGACAGACAAAAGTTTGACAATGCATGCTTAAAGTAATTTGCACTCGTTTTACAACTTTGAACTTGTGTTACATGAAAAATGCACTCATTTTCAGCCAATCAGACACCTGTAGTTTTTCTGTGTATATTAACATAAGAACTATTTAAAGAAAAAGATTATTATAATTAACTTACTGTGCCAGTATTGTTGAATGCCAAACAGGTGACTCCTCGTTGATGTGCATCCTTCAATATGGAAACTGTCTGACATGTTTTTGAATCCCAAACACAGACATATGGGTCCTTCCCAACCTGTCCAGTTGCTACCAATTGTCTCTCAGGATGTAATGCCAAACTGTCAACATAAAAACAATATTCCTCTCTAATGACATGTAAAAGAAAAAAATCTGCACTTGAGCCCAGAGTCCATGAACAGTTTAATAAACCCTGCACTTTCAACTGTTTTAAAGCATCTGCAAAGTAAATATCAGACCCTTATGCAACTACACTCCGTAAAGTACAAATGATGCCCAAGTCAAGTACAAATATCACACAGTATTTGTACCCCAGAGAACCCGTTAGACAGGTTTTCTCGCATCGCGCAAGCGAAAAATGGGATTGAAGATACAAAACAAAATGGCCAACAGATTAAATCATTTTTCTGACAATGAAGAGTTGGAATGGCTGGCCAATATTGATCCAAGTTCATTAGATAAATTGAACAAAGAAAAGCAGTTACTAGATAACAATGAAATTTCATCTGTTATGGAAGAAAATACCATACTGTTGCTTTGCATACTGTTGTCGCACACTCCCCGTAAATAAATATCCACAAAATTCACCCACACTGAAATAACAATTTGGTGTGTTGAATAATAAATAACTTATTGGACATTTTAGTGTGTCATATTGCTGAGTACTTTTATTTATAATCTGTACTTTGACTTGCCCCACAGGCTTGTGAAATTACAGCATAACTCATAAAAATACTCAGCGATACTACACAACAAAAAGTCTAACAAGATATATACATCAAGAGTGGCAACCAAAGAAAATGTCATCCTCATAGCAAAAATGCCACAATCCTAATAATATTTCATATTGAAAATGTAGGTCTGCAACTCAAATCACTAAAGAAAAGCCAGACTAAGAGTTTGTATAATAATCAAGAGCTTTTCTCACTGATGATCATTCGCTTTATTCTCATGACCAATAATTCAAGGTTGATATTGTACTGTTAGTTTTGGGGATCTAAGGTTTAAGCTAAAGACCAGTGTAGTATACAATTCCAAATCTCTAATCTAATTTTCCTTTAACATTTTTTCTTGTTCAGGGGTTTCATTAATGTTTTCAGCTGGAGGGCATCTGATTTTTACAGGCAGGCAAAACTTTTTGAACTGAACTTCTTTATAAGTTAAACTTTCCTCCAGATGGTCAAACCAGGTGGGCAAAACCTTGCTCACAACTGGTCAATTTACCCAGCGCCTGGCTCTTAATGAAACCCCTGCTTGTTTCAAAGAATATTTCCTTAAAACAACACAGGGGTTGAGACTGTGAAATTGATAAACAGAGATCGTCACTTGAGGGCTAGTATAAACTTTTAGTATAATATTAAGTGGTTCTTATCAATTTTCAGCTGACACAAGGCAAAGGGTCCAATTGAAAATTAACAATATGGGTAAAACAAATATATTTGGCACATTGACCATCATGTTAATAGATATCAAGTGATCGCAAAGGACAGACCAGTCTAGTCAGTATTTTAAATTTAGGGCAGTACCTAAAATTTTTTTTGGTGCTTCAATATTTAGTTTACTGACACTTTTTTTTTCACTTTACACATGTAAGAGAAGCAATCAGTTAAAATTATCAGCCACCATTAATTCAGCACCTTGCAGCATTATCTTTAAGGTGCCTTTTCAGACACAGCATGTTATTTGAAGTTGATTTCAAAATGTCACATCAATTTCTAGGCTGGACTGTTCAGTAGATAATATATTCCTTTGATCATTTCTCTCTCACTATGTAAATAATTAAGTAACATTATTTCTGTAGTTGGCCCATCCATTTGAAAAAGGTTTTTCAATGACAAAACAATCTAAATATACAAAAACTCGTGCCAGAAGCTTCCAGTTTGACAAAATTTACATATAGACACTTTGAATTGTAAATTCGTCTGGTTACTTGCGGATCAATAATTGAGCATTTTATTAATTTCTTTAAATATTCAAACAAGAATATAGGGTGTGACAGTTCAGTTGCTATATTTTAAAAAGCGTACGAGCTCGGAAAAAAATACGTTCAGGGAATAAATGATCGGTAACTGGAAACGCTGGAAAATTTTCTCAGATTTTGTCGTGATCCAAAGTCAGTTTCCCAGCGTGGAGTCATGAAAATAAATAAAAATTAATGTCCACAACTTCGATTCCCTCACAATTTTGTGAGGTGCGGCACGGAGATTACTGGGGCCTTCAATGCAAAATGGAAAATAAACGCAAAAAAAAATTTTCTGGTTGTACAATTTAGGCTTCACTTTGTACCTTAAAATCAAATCAACTGCAAATTATTAAATATTTCGCTTTGTATGACTGATCAAGCGTTCGATCTGCTCAGCTAGGGAAGATTTTATACAATTTCCAAGACCAAAGTTTTAGAAGCCTTCGTTCAAAATTCAAAGCTCAAAGAACCTATAACAAAACGAAATCACGCGGATAAATCGCGGTCAAAATCGAAAAACGACTTGTACATCGATTCAAAAGGTAACTTGTACTCAATGGGTTCACACGGCAACACATGTCAACATAGACACACAATATACATGTGTATGAATTATGTTCTAGGACTGCAAATACCTCAAGCAAAAATATATTTCACTGCTGCTGTCAACAAAATACTTCACAGGATTCCCTTAGACAGTCAAACACCACAAACCTGATAATATCATCGTTATGTCCAAGAAAGAATCGCTGGGAGTTTTCCCTCGTGTTGGAAACCACACCGACTCCTGCCACGAAGTACACGATCTCTTTCGATGAGGTGTAGTAAAGATTGTTGCGGCATTGGTGTCCTCTGTAACCGTAGACCCATTCTAGCTTTAGCGACGAGGTCGGTGCAGTTCTATCTGTCATTTTACCACACAACACTAGACCGTGCCACCCTCTCGCAACCAAACAACGCGCCAAACTCCATATTCAACTTCCTTTCCGCGTTACTGTGGCCTTTCAAGAACAGGGAACTAACACGTAATGTGATTGGTCAATTTTAATCCCAAAGTCAATTTGATTGGATGATCACAAAAACTAACAGGCCTATCGTGACTCGAGGTCACTTGGAACTGTGATCAATTTTTTCACGTCAAGGTTAAGGTTGGGCAAAAAATAAGTACACATCACTAACTTGTTTTGAACCCCACTCTGAATCAAAGTTTAAAGATCGAGGATTAACAAAATGCTTATCTAGTCGTTTGGCTTCATAAGGCCTTCTTTTGGAGTACCCAGATCGAGGTTGAAGCATAGGAAGCTTAGCCCATAAAGGCACGTGCCTCCTCTTAGCTATGAATGGAGAAAATACGCAGATTTAGGACAATAACGACGCAAACAACATACCTGTTTTCGAGTAAGCGAGGGATGGAATAACTTTTGGGGTTTTCCTTCATAGGGTGGATTATTTTGTCCGGAGGGTCACTGACCCATTTCCGATATGTTTAGGCGCGCGAGTCTGGAACCTAATTTTAAACACTAAAGCGAGGCTTCGGTAAACAACCGCATAGTCTGTCTTGTGCAATTAGGAATAATTATTTTCCTTGTTTCTAAGTTGGTGAAGTACTGCGCTGTAGCTCTCTGTATTAATAGGACTCACATTTAGTCAAATCTCTCATATTTCAGTTTTCCTGAAGAAGTAAAATTACGCGAAAGACGGGAAGAGCCGACGGCAAATTCAAGAATGGGTCAAGAATCTCACCGAACGTTTCATTTCAGAAAACATGTCCTGAAAGTCAGGAGAGCTATCTGGCAAAATCTACATAGTCCCAGGTGCTTTCCCCACTACCCCCCCCCGCTGCGAAAGAGAATTCGGTGGATGTCTGAAAAAGCAGACTCAAAAAGAGAACTCTTCGAGCTACGCGATCAGCTGACAAGAATGGGGAATTTCCCAAAGAAAGAAAGGTTACAATTTAAAGATAAAACGAACACCGATTTATTAAAATTGGTTTTACTTGTATTATTTTCCAAGTGAATTTTTATCCAGATGTTTAACTCGTTGTGAGACTGTTCAGAACGTGAGTGGATTTTGGATTGTTTTGTGAGCGGGTATACAGCAAGGAAGTAGCTGGAAAGAGTCCTTTTTGGTATAAGAGAAATATAGAATTCAAGGAAAATGACTGACCACCTGATCCTTGGTACTCCCTACTCGGGTGGTAAATTTTCCAAAGGAACAGTGGAGCAATCTCATCCCCGTTTCAAACGAGTGGGGCCCCAGGTGGGCTCTGGGAACGAGGGAATGAGCGGTACAATATGATAGCCTCATGATAATCAATATGATTTACACCAGTAGAGTAACTGATTTTAAATTAAATTGCAATCACTCCCATTTTGCAAATCTACTCACATTTGTTCGCCAGACGGCTAAACGTCTGGCGAAATTACACATTGTCATCAGTCCCACTGGCAACTCTGTTAGCCGGTCCTCTCCAACAAGATCTGAATTAATACGCTATTCACACCAAGGCTTAATTAAAATTAAGCTGTTTTGCTTAATTAAAATTAAGCTTAATTAAAAAATTAAATAAAAAAATTAATTAAAAATTAATTAATTAAAAAATTAAGCTTAACTAAAATTAAGCTGATTAAAAGCTGTTTTGTTAAATACGGTTTAAAATTGTTTCCTTCATAGAAGCTGCTTAAACAAATGTTTGTCGACTTCAATCAATTAATATGGAGGAATTCCGCCGTCATTATTGCTAAAAAAATAATTTTGGGACTGCGCAGCCCTCATTTTTTTGTTCTGCTTTGTTTGTTCTACCTGAAAAACGACTATCAGAGTTTTGATACTGAGCCATGATTTTGTCAGAGATCTCTATTTGTTATATGAGAATATGGATTTACTGAAACAAAGTGAAGTTTATATCACAAACTCGAATCAAAGTGCTAGCGGTATTTGAAAGCTCTCGGCGATATCAAATGAGCTCTCGCCAATATCAAATGAGCTATCAGTCTTCTGATAGTCCTTGCACATATCTGATTGGTTCGGTTCCCACACCTAATGTGATAAGTGAAATCGTCGTCTTGTGTATGTTTTCTTACTCCTCAAAGTAGCGGCTTGTCTTCACAAATGGAAAAAACACTCCATCTTTATCTAAAATATCACTCTACTGCATGACCAATTGAACCTTTGTATTCAGGTAGCGAGCCCAAATGAAATCCTTTATCCGCGTTACACGCAGAGTGTATGCGGTAATGAGTCAAAAACACAATTTGGATACTAGCAGATGCTGGCAATTTCATGATATGAACTTTTTTAAATATATTTGTATTTTTTTTCTTTCTCAACAGAAATACGTCCTCCAACACCATTGCCTTTCTACATGAAAAAGTGTTTTGGAATTTATAGGAGCTGATACAGCTGTAGGGGGTAGCAGACATTTGGAGGACTTAAATATAATCATTCCTTTAAATTGTTTGAATACTTTATCCTCAAGGCAATTTTTTTGAATAGGGATTTGTCTTCCAACGCCATTACCGTTCTACCTGAAAGTGTCTTTTCGCATTCAGAGGAGCTGTAATGGCTTTAAGAGAACAAGCTTTTTTTTTTAAAGGACACTGGCAATGTCATGAATTAAATTTGATATTAGATAGTTCATAGATTCAGTTTGAATGATAAGAGATATTTTTGCCACTCAAATAAAACTGAATCATTGATTTAAATTGTTTGAATACTTTATCCTCAAGGCTATTTTTTTTAACAGGGATTTGTCTTCCAATGTCATTACCGTTCTACGCGGAAGTGTCTTTTCGCATTTAGAGGAGCTGGAATGGTTGTAAGAGAACAAGCTTTTTTTTAAAAAGACACTGGCAATGTCGTGAATTAAATTTGATATTAGATAGTCCATAAATTCAGTTTGAATAATAAGAGCTATTTTGGCGACTCAATTAAACTAAATCATTGATTTAAATTGTTTGAATACTTTATCCTCAAGGCTATTTTTTGAACAGGGATTTGTCTTCCAATGTCATTACCGTTCTACCCAGAAGTGTCTTTTCGCATTTAGAGGAGCTGGTATGGCTGTGAGAGAACAAGCTTTTTTTAAAATGACGCTGGCAAGGTCTTGAATTAAATTTGATATTAGACAGTCCATAGATTCAGTTTGAATAATAAGAGATATTTTGGCGACTCAAATAAAACTGAATCATTGATTTAAATTGTTTGAATACTTTATCCTCAAGGCTACCTTTTTTTAACAGGGATTTGTCTTCCAATGCCATTACCGTTCTACCTAGAAGTGTCTTTTCGCATTTAGAGGAGCTGGAATGGCTCTAAAAGAACAAGCTTTTTTTTTTTTTTAAAAGACACTGGCAATGTCATGAATTAAAGTTGTCGGAATGCTATTTCCTTTGATAATTATTATTGAGTAACATTTGCTCCAGAATTTTTTTTTCTGGACTGGGATTTGTCTTGCAACACCATTGCTCTTTTACCACCTCACAGAGTTTTTTCCAATTTGCAGAAGCTGACGGTGCTGTAAGGGATAGCAGACATTTTGACGACTTAGATAAAACTGAATCATCGATTTAAATTGTTTTTATACTTTATCTTCAAGGCTATTTTGATAACAGGCATTTGCCTTCCAACGCCCGCATTACCGTTCTGCCTGAAGGTGTCTTTTCGCATGTAGAAGAGCCGAGAAAGCTGTAAGAGATACCAGCTTTTTTAAGATGCTGGCAATTTTATGAATTCAATTTGTTTGAATACCATCTCCACTGGTAATTTTTATCAATAAACAATTCTTCTAGTAATTTTTTTTCTCTTAACTGGGATTTGTCTTACAACGCCATTGACTTTTTACCTGATAGAATTTTTTCGAATTTACAGGAGCTGACGTTGATGTAAGGGATAAAAGAAATTATGTAAAACTTAATCATTGATTTCAATTGTTTGAATACTTTACTATCAAGGTTTCTTTTTTTTAACAGGTACTTGTTTTCTAACGCTATTACCTTTCTACCTGACAAAGTGTTTTTAAATTTATAGAAGCTAATAAAGCGATAAGGGATAGCGGACATTTTGAGATAACAGAAAATTCATGGATTCAATTTGTTTAAAAACTATTTTCTCTAGGATATTTTTTTCCTTGCCACGGGTTTGTCTCGTAACGCCATAACCTTTCTACCTGATAGAGTCCTGTAAGTCTTCTGATCGTCCTAGCATATATCTGACTGGTTCGTTTCGCATATATCTTATGTGATGAGTGAAATCGTCGTCCTGATTTCTTACTCCTCAAAGTGGTGGTTTGTCTTCACAAATGATAAAAACGCTCTATCTTTATCTAAAATACCACTCTAGTGCATGACGCATTGAACCTTTATATTTGGGCAGCGAGCCCAAATTAAATCCTTTATCCGCGTTATACACAGAGGATATGTGGTAATCAGTCAGCAACACAATTTGGATAGAAACTGGCAATTTAATGATATCAATTTGTTTCGATATATTTTCTCGACCATTTTTTTTTCAACGGGGATTTGTCCTCCAACGCCATTGCCTTTGTATCCAGCAAAGTGTTCAGTTTAAATTTACAGGAGCTGATACAGCTGTAAGAGACAGAAGACATTATGGAGACTTAAGTAAAATCATCGATTTAAATTGTTTGAATACTTTACCTTCATGGCTATTTTTATTAACAGGGATTTGTCTTCCAAGGTGTTTTTTCGCATTTAGGAGAGCTGAAAAAGCTGTAATACAAGCCTTTTGTAAGATACTGGCAATTTCATGAGTGCAATTTATTTGAATGCTATTTCCTTTCATAATTTTTATTTAATAACATTTAATTTAGTATTTTTCTCTCAACTGGGATTTGTCTTCCCACACCATTGCCCTTCTACTCGTTGACAGAGTTATTTTCGAATTTACTGGACCAGACGGTGATGTAAGGGATAGCTATCCCTTACTATAGAAACTACGAACAGCAACTTTGAATCTATTTGAATCCTGCTCACCTCTTTTTTTTGTAGAGAATTCTCTCCGAACCTAATCGCCTCTTTGCCAAAACACGGTTTTTCTCGACAAGAGGCTGCACTGTCAGTAGGGATATGTTATAAGAACACCTAACTTTCTCAACTGTCCCTTTAAACGCTCTATTACCCTGTCCACTTAAAAGCACATCGGGTACATTGTCCTATTACTGCAGAAATCGGACTGGTGACCGATCAGCACGTTCGAGAATTTTGTCATGGTTTTGATTAAACTTAGAGTTTTTAAAGTGTATGTACTGAACCATGAAAATCCCCCTATTCTTTAATTATCACTAATTTAAAAACTGTTTTGCTTCAAAGCACTGGATAATAATCGCTTGAAGTGTATTCCCTATATCGCGCCTTCTACAACAGGACTTAGTTACACTTGCTGTAAGTACACATCAAAAGTTAGATAGTCCCAAACGTTGGCACTTTTTGTCATTTTTTCGAAATCAGTTTTATGTTTGGTCGAGTTGCTTCTGTAGATAAACGCGGATATTGCATAATGAAATTATAGCAGATAACAATACATTATTTGCTTGCAACGGCATCTTAATAATTTAGGTTCCTTCGAGTGAAATACGGAGATCAAGCATCGCACTCTGTAGCCTTCTCATATTTATGCATTCACCATTGACCAATAGGAAACGAGACACTTTGTTGAGCACAGAATAAGAGTTTTCATCCTGTGGCTCTATAAAACGTTTAATCTTCTAACTATTTTTATTCCAGAACACTGCCTGATAATCCTATAGAGATAATTGAACCAGAGGCCTTTGGCCTTAATGCCCCTGGACTTAAAATGTAAGTTGTAAAATATGAATTTTATCCTAAAGGTTCTAACTGTAACTAGTCTTAAAACGGAAGGGGACAGATCAGTTTTGTCTTTGTCTGTTCTCCGCTGATTGATGTTTTGTTTGATTGCTTATTTTCGTAGAAGGAGCTTTTTTCAGGAAAGAGTTTGCGTACACTTCTCACGGAAGGTTGTAAGGAATGTCCGAATGGTTCGTACGTTTCTTATGGCAAGAAACCTGGAAAATCACTACCAGATTGCAAGTCATGTCCTGACAGTCAGTCATAACTGACGATTGGACACTTTTAGATTCTTTGACGGTCTCCAAGGGGTGATGGCTTTTACGGCTAACGGTTAAAACTTTGGTCGTTTCACGGCGAACGGCTACTATCATTCCATCGTTATCACCAGAAATTTTTTCAACGATTAACTTTTTTACGACTATGGGTTAAAATAAGTCAGTTTTTACGTCTAACGGCTTCATTTTTGGCCGTTTTACGACTATCAGCCACATTAAGACCCTCTCCTATCATATGAATGTGAAAGCTACTTGCTAAATATTAAATGTCCGTGTGGTGTGGTCCAATAAAGACCAAAAAGAAGATGTAAAAGTCAATGTTGAAGATAGGATATGGGGGAAGGTGGAACGAGGCAAACAAGTCTAGCTTCAAAGAATGACCTAAAGGTCTGCATAACGTCTATAACCATTTGCTGTGCTCTTTTAAAATTCAATTCTTTACAGAGGCGTTCTTGAAACGAAAACGAAAACATAACACTAAAGCAATAATTTTACCTTTAATAGGAACTGAGACTGACTTTTTCGCTGGATACCGAGGTTTTCCATGCTTGCACGGTCATTATCCAACCCATTTGTTCGAGGAATGCCACAAATGTGGCAAAGGTAGACTTGTGTGCCAAGACGAATATGACTCTTAGAAACCTGGTTATTGGTGGCAGTGGCGCGGAACGACTCTTACAAACTTCGTTACCAAGATTTTATCAAAAATCTCATAAAAGCTTTACCAGCACTAGATGAGGATTCCGTGAAATACCCCTTTGCACTTCCAATATCCACAATGAATATTGTGGCAGAAGGATACGAGGGGCCAGTTTTCGCCGTTTGCAGCTCTGGATACTACAAGCAATTCCACACCTGCAAAGAATGTCTATCGCAATCGTGGATCACGGGACAGTTGTCTCTTGTTGCGGCCACTTTGTTAATAATACTTACTCTTTTGGCATGGAAAAGGAAAGCAAAGCTTGCAAAGGACCGTGGTCTCAATCTCACGGACACGTTCTTATCCTAACTCTTGATCTTAATCGGGTTTTACCAAGTCATTTATGGCTTACTGGTGTCTTCTCTTTCATCAGTTGGCCAGATTCGTTACAAGTTGTTGCAAAAACAGTACTCAGGAATGCTGCAACTGAATTTACTTCAAATTGCACCTATTCACAGCTGCCTTTCTCCAGGACTGCATATGAATACATTTGGAGACTTGTTTGTGATCTTGTCATTGAATGCAACTATGATTTCCGCTGCAGGTGTAATTTACGGTATTCGTAAGAGAGTTATCTTGGAGGAAAAAAGCCTAGATGACGAAGAAAAACTAACCAAAATCTCAGAGATGAAGGAAGTCGTGTACAAAAATGTCTTTTTCGTCCTTTATGTGACTTACTTGATAACGTGTTCTGGCGCTTGCTTGCCGTCAACTCTGCAAGAACAAAAATGAAGAGTTGTGCAAAGAATATCTCAAAGCAGACTACAGCGTGGAATGCCGAGGTTCAACATATAAGGCTGCCTTCATAATATATGGCAGAGGGGGGGGGGAGGCAGGTAAAATTGAGGGGGGATTGGAAAAAAATATATACAAGAAAAAAGGGGGATTTCAAATTTTTTTTACAATAAAGTGGCGGGATACCAAATTTTTGTTATCAAATAAGCTAGAAGAAATAACCAGGGCGTAGTAAAATTTCTTCATTTCATAACATAACATATGCTGACACAGTGGGACTTTTGCAGCACATGATGGTAATATGTTTATTTCAAAGTTCTGTAAACGGCCTATTGGTCTGCAGTAATTAAATTATGAGATTTGTCAAATTTAGCTACATTTAAAACACTTCTATTATTAAAAGCCTATTTAAAAGAAACAAAAATTTTTAGGCATATAAATATTGCTCTACTCCAGATTTTGTGGAATAAGAATCTTTGTTAACTCATCAATATTGAATAAAAAAAAAACTATAATTAATAGGAAACTTTTCCTAAATATTTACTCTTGGGCGGAGTCCTCATTTTTCTCCACTTCTTCATTTTCATGGTCAGTGTCCTCACTTTCCTCCACCTCTTCATTTTCAGTTTCCAAATCTTTCTCAGTCATGAGTCTGGATAGTGGTTTTAAGCCTGTGTAGAGTGCAATCTTCATGACTTAAAGTTTATCCACAAAAGATACCCTTATCTCTAATAAAACAAAATTTTTCGTATTGTGGATGACTTCCTTCCAAGAGCCCAACTGAAAATAGAGTTTTCTGCTGGCACAGTTTGTCTCGAAGACCCAAATAGCATCAAAAAATTTTCCGAGAAATATATCTTGAACAAGATCATATAAGATCTTACGTAAACCATCTTTTGTGTCTTCAAAGGGCCAAAGATATCCGAACAAATCAAACAAAACGGGATAAAGCCGAAGTAAAGAAAACATCATACGAAGATTATGACTGGATAGAGTTATCCTTATTTCGCGACGCTTTAAAGAAACTAACAGTTAAAGAAGTTGAAAAATATTTAACCTTTCATAAACTATCATTAAATCGTCTGAAGAATGACAAAATTACTCGGATAATGGCACATATCAACTTTTTAACTAACGGCTCCAACATGCATTCACAGTATAAGAGTGTTTCTCAGAATGACCACCAAGACGAAATAGAGAAAGGAGATGGTGAAGATGATGAAGAAGACAGTGAAGATGATGATAGTGATGACGAAATACTCGCTGTTTTTGGAAGTGACTCTGAAGATGAAGATTCTCATGAAGAAAGTGGTAAAGACGAGTCTGATGATATGAATGTGCATCAGGTATATCAAGGATCCGCAGTAACCTCTCGATCTGGACGACAATGCAGGCCTAGTAGTAGATATCAAGACTTCCTTGCATAGGTACATTGATAAAAAATTAACCTTATAGTCACATTTTAAAATTTTATGGTGTTGCTGTGGGTAGGGGGGAGTGGAAATTTTTTAATATTTTTGCTTGGGGGGATTGCTAATTTTTTGAGGCCAGGGTGTTGAAAATTTTTTTGGTAATAAAAAATTCCACCTGCTCCCCCCCCCGTCATACATTATGAATGCAACCTAACCAGCTGCTGATTGTCGCATACATTTCCGCGGCGTACTTATTTACCCTACCTGTTGCTTCATTCATTGTCCTTTGGAGGCATCGGCGAACAATAATATCAACCTCGGCAGACGGTGACGGTTCAGGCATTGGCAAGGAACTTGTTCAAGGACTACGGTTTATTTTCGCAAACTACAAACCACAAACGTGGTACTGGGAGCTTTTTGAAATGTCTCGAAAAGTAATTTTAACATCTGGCCTTATTCTTGTGGGTCACGAAAGCAGGTCCTAAATTATTTGGTTTAGCGTGGGTCGTTGCTGGTGTAGACGGAATTCGTTTCTCCTGGAGGAAACCCATACAGGACCCATTCAAGAATAGATTTATGACGACTTCCCTTGCCGTTACAGTTGTCAACTTGGGTATCGGTGCTGTTACGAGGATCGAATTATTTTTACTGAATCTGTCACGCAATCCCAGACTTTTCTTGAATTATCTATAATCTGTAATATTCCAGAAACTTCTTTCATGTGACTCAGCAGTTTCCAAAAATAGTACA